TATGAGAAATAGACCTAAAATACTTATTAAATTTGCTCTCCATTTGAAAATTATAGCTCCAAAAGTATCATTCATACGATATTTGATAATTTTTTTTTTGAATATTTAAAATTTGTAAAGCAGCTAAAGTAATAGTTGGATAATAACAGCTAGATAATAACATTATAGCATCATAAAAAACTTGTAACATCTCACTTAAATTATATATAATTGTCCATTCATCTTCAGTTATTTCATACGTGCTATCAAAGCTAGAACTAGAAGCATAACAATTTATAAAATTATTTATAATTTTTTTTATATTCTATTGCCACACTTAACATTGCATAGGTGGAATCTCACCTATGGTTAACATCTTTTGGAATTAGTCTGGACTTATAATTTTTTCTTTAACAAAATTATTTTCATCTTTTAAGTCTTTGTTCAGAAATACTATGGCATATAACAATTAATGTTGTGATATTGGAACTGTAAATGAGTTATTGTCTATAAACCAGAGTATTAGTTCCATTTATTTTCACAAGCACCAACTTCCAAACATTTTTTGTTTATAAAGTCAAACTTTGGTTTCTTTGGTTTCGCCAAAGAGACTGAACCATCACAAAAAGAACATCGCCACAATATTTTTAACAAGTATACTTACTTTTGTCTGTTAAAATGTGCAAAGTAATCCTTTGTAAAAGTAAAAGAAAAGGCTAAGCTTTTTTTATAAGAGAATTCATTGTAACTAGCATAGCTTCTTTCCTTGTAGATGAATTTAAAAGAGCCACGTAGAAATGAAAAGATAAGAAGAGCTAGAAGATGAAGATGCTATTTTGAAAAAACTTAAAATTTTGACAACTTTCATTTTCCTAATAAAGGTCATTTAATATTAACATTGTACACCTTAGAAGTGGGCCAAGTGGCAAGTCAGCACCACTTTATTGTAGAGTAGCTAGGAGTAGCGTAGTTTTCATTTCCTATACAAAACTATTAAAATTTAAAGTGGATTTAAAGTTAATTTGGTGTTATATGAGGGTAACTTTAAAAATGAAATGAGTTTTAAAAATAAATAGGGGTATTATCTTGAATTTAAAAGTAGAAAAACCATCTATAATTTGTAGGGCCAAAACATTAGTATGAAAAGGGACAAAAAATGACAATTTACATTGGTTTAAAAATGCATTAATACTCTATGGACTTAGAAAAGAATGTAACCAATAATAATAAAATACCCTAAACTATCAATTGGTATGTACACTTCTCTTACCAATTTGTTTTTTTTTTCTCTAGCTTCAGTGATATATTGGTATTTTTTCTGAGTTAAATGTGCAATTAGACCCACAACTTCGCCATCGGTGAAAAATAGTTGTGAAACCTCTTTTCTCTAGCATATTTTGGCCTCCAAACCTTTCTCTCCACCATATTTGGAGGTAATATCATGTCGTCTCCTTCTTTGTCCCAAAATTCACTAGAAGTATAGTTGACTCATCATCCTTTCATAAGAATCAGCATAGTTATTATCATTATACAAATGTGCCAAATAATCTTCTAGCACTTCCCTTATGAATAAGAGAGCACTTATAGCAATACATAAGGTATCACGACTTCTTTCACTTGCTGTGAAGGTTTTGGTCTAATTGCACATTTGGCTGACAAAAAATACTTAAATGTCTCTGAGCTAGAAAAGAAAAATATGAAAATGGTAACAGGGTGTATAAACATACTAGTTTAGTAATTTAGCCTAATAAAATATAACACCTTTCATTGTAAATTAAACTGTTGAAGTACCAAGTGATTTGAAAATCAGTTCAATAGATTATTTATGGTTTTCAAGTGATTTTAGAAGTAACTGTGTTTAAAAGCAAATGAGTGTAAAGTTTGAATTTATAAACAAAAAATGTATGGAAGTTGGTGCTTGTGAAAATAAATGGAACTAATACTCTGGTTTATAGACAATAACTCATTTACAGTTCCAACGCAACAACATTAATGTAAAATAATTTTAAAAAATTTACAATTTGCTAAAACACCTTGAAAGTTTCAACAATTGCCAAACACCATATAACAAAACATCCTAAAAATAAAAATTTAAAAAAGACTTACCAAAAGCACCCTTTTTTAGTTCTGATCTTTTCAGGATGTTTTTGTAAGTTTTAAATTTTGGTCTTTTTAGGCTGTTTTTGTAAATTTTAAATTTTGATTTATGATTTGTGAAATTTTTAAGGTATTTTATATAAAGTCTAAAAATGCAGGGGTTGTTCGTAATTCCTAGACGGATATTTCCTTTAACCTCTTACCGATAAATGTGACGAAGGCCGCTTTGATCCTATATTGATATAGTCAATGGACGAGATTGTTCAAAAATACCTTTTCAGTGATAGCAATTTTGAGCTCATAAGGTTATACACAATTTAAGGAATCATATGGTTTTAGATCTCAAGTTTTGATTTAGATCTAACACGATCCACATAGACGAACTCATTGTAAGTTACCCCATATTTAACCTAAATGCTGCTCCATATACACATTCTCATATCTTCGACGCTCACTCTGATTTAGCAGAAAAGAACAACAAGAAACTTAGAATTTAAACATGCATATCATGTTAGGATGTAAGTGGCAAGGTTTTAAAAACATGGTTAATCAGATTATGCGACAACTGATCGGATTACGCGAAATTGCACATGTGTGAATTTTTAATATATATATAAATATTCATGAATAATAGTTGACAAAATTCAGACCTCTAGAGGTTTCAATATAAACTCAAACTTGAGTTCCTCTAGGGGGTCTACCCAAACAAACACAATCTGATCGTATACCAACAAAGAATGAATTCAAACCCTAAAAGCGTCTAGGGCGAATCTACAGCTACAAATTGAACCAGGACAGAAGTTAACAAAGAGGGAAGCAGAGTACCTTTTGAGAGAAGCAACGACCGAGATTGGAACAGAGCTCGACGGCGGTGGGGGACTTGGAATCTAGTCGGCAGAGGCGCTGACGGTGGCGTCGGCGACGGTGCCAAAAGAGGCGGCGGTGCCAAAAGAGGCGGCGGTGGGGGTTTCTAGGGTTTATGCAAAGTATTTGCTAGTATTGTTGCGATGGTAGTCCCTGTTGACTCCCTCGTTTTTCTAGGAGGACCACATAGTTATGTATTATATTCGGGAGAGGGGTTTAAAGACAAATATACAAAGCGGTTTAGATTTATAGGTACAAATGAAACTATTTAGGTCTAACAATAAATCAGAGTAAAGCATTGGGTTTAAAGGGAAAAACCCCTTATGTTTATAGTAAAAGATCAAGATATCTAAACAGTATCCGGCATTTGTATCCTATATCCAAATCCAAAACTACATCTGGATACTTTTTCAAACCACATCTAAAACTATATCCGTGCCCGAATGGTTTTTAATTTTCACATCCAAAACTATATCTAGATTCATTTCAGATACAATTGGTTCGAATATGTCTGGAGCACATAACATCCCTAAGTGGGGGTAATGAGAGTCAAGAGAAGATAGGGGACATATAAACCTTGTTTAGGAATTATATTAACTTCTCATTACTTGTATTCACTTAGGCCCCGTTTGGATAACAGAAGTATTAGAAGTAAGAAATAGGTTATAGAAGTAACTTTCAAAACTATAAAGTAGGAAGTAGTGGAAATAACACTTTTTTTGTTTGTTTCGTATATTTTAGAAGTAATGGAAGTAGAACTTCTTCTTCTTCATTTACTTTTTATGTTTGGATAACATTTGGAAATATTACTAGGAAGTAATTTTATCAATGAAAAGATGTTAGAAGTAACCGATAAAGGAAATATTAATAAAAAAATTTATTTATTTCCTAATTAATATGCATTTTAACTACTTCCGAGCTACTTCTGAGTATTAAGGATTGGAAAACTATTTTGGAAGTAAGGATGACACGTAAGCGCCACATAAGCATTTAAGAAAGTAATGGAAGTAAGTTTTTCAAAGAACCAAACATGTTTTTTTGCTTGGAAATAACAGAAGTAGCATTTACTTCTTTTACTTCAGCTACTTCATAATTACTTTCAATTAAGAGTTATTAACATCCTAATTATACCTCATTAAGGGTCTAACAATTACCCATTAACAAACCACTTAAAGATCATTATTCTCTTATTTTAAGATATGAATTTATTTGGTCAAATATTTCTAACAACGAGGTACACATTTCACTCATTTTGACAATATAAATACTAGTTATATATTTTTTAATTTGCTATTATTGATCAATAATTGTCTGCTAGAACGTTAAGTACTATTAAATAATTATTGGTTAGACAATAAGATATTGTTGGAGTTTATTATAATATGTCTTGCTAATTTTTTTATTTTTTAAAATTATTACTAAAATACAAGTCTTAAAAAACAAAGCTTTCTATATTTTCCTCTTTTTTAATTCTCCGAAATCGCTTTCCCTCGCCCACAGTCTCGTTTATTTTTTAATAAGTTATGAATCTAAAATTCCCTTACTTTTAAATTTTAATAATATAATTATAATATTCAATAAAGAAATAATTTGTCATATAAAGAGAGTAAAATGAGTGATGGTATTGTCTAATAATGGCGATAACAATTTGAAGAAAGAAAATTGGGGGTAGGGGGAATGAAATATAAAAAATAAGAAATAAGAAAAATTTAGCTTTTTACCACCTAATTTCAAGCTAAGACTTGAAATAATTTCAAAGAATAAAACCCTCATTTCTATAAAAAAAAATTTAAAAATAGTGGAATATTTTTCTTATCTATCTCAATACTAATTCTATTATAGTTCTAGTTAATTTAACAATATAAATTTTTATTTTAATTTTAATTCTACCTGACTAACACCTTAGAATCTTATTCCTATAAACTACCCTAGCTTCAGCGTTGAGTTTTACTTCACTAACCCCTTTCGATTCTCGCACAATTTCAGTTTTTAGAGCGGCAAGAGTCGTTAACAACCGCATAAAGTACTTGAATGAACTTAAACACACAAAAGAGGCCATCTACAACCAAAACCACTTTATTCATTTTTACCATACAATAGAAGTACATGCGAACACACTTAGAAACTTTATTATTTGATTACATAAAGTTTTAAAGCTTGCTTGACACCGGGATGCTTCTGGGCGTGAGTTTAGGCCCAACAGGCTCTTTGGGCACCACAACAGTAAGCACTCCATTTTCAACACGGGCCTTAATCTGCTCAGCCCGCACGTTATCAGGCAAGCCCAACCTCCTATCAAACCCCTCCTCCTTCCCTCTCTCCATCACGTGCCACACCATCTCCTTCTCCTTCTCCTTCCTCTTCTCCTCCTCCTTAACCTCTCCCTTTATATGCAGCACGTTTCCTTCTTCCAATTGGATTTTTATCTCATCCTTACTCAACCCTGGAAATGAAATTGGAGAGAAGTTAATGGGTTCTCGGTTTTGCATTTGAGACTTAAAATATGACGATCATGCATATCTTTTAATTACTTGAATGACCGGTCATGTAACTAAATACTAATAGAATAAGAGCATCTCCAAGGGGCCGGAAAAATCCGGCCCCTAGCTTAATTAAGGGACTTCGGAGGGGAAGTTGCTCCAACGAGTCGGAAAAAACGCCCCTTCACCCCCAAACCCTTTAACTCTTTTCCCAAATTAAGGGGAAGATTAAAGTCCCTTAACATTCTCCTTATAATTTTATATTAATATTTTTAATAGAGTTAATGTATAGTTAATCAAATTTAGTTAATGTATAGTTAATTCAAAATAAAATAATTAATATTAAAATAATATAGATTTAAATTTAAAATAATATTTAACTTTTAACATGATTTATATAAATTAATTATTTGTTAAATTTTTAATTTGATTAATTAATCTAATGATTAAATCAGGTAATTTCTTAATTTAAATTAATTAATTTAATTATTTTTAGTTATTAATATTAAATTATTTATTTGTTTATAAATAAATCACATATTTAATTAAATCATAATCTATAAAACTAAAACACTAAGGGGGTTTTAGTCAATTGGGACATTTTCATGAAAAATGGGATAATTGTTAAAGTAAAATAATTTTTCGCTAATGTGATATTTTAGTAGGATAAATAGGAATAATTTTGTGAAGCGGGATATTTTGATAAAATAACTTGGGATATTTTTTTTATAATTATGAAATATATATTTATGCATTTTGAAGATATAAATAGTATTGTATTTTAAACTTACTATTATTGATTGATAATTGTTTACAATAACATTCTTTACTATTAAATAACTTTTGGTTAGACTATAAGATATTAACAATTATTATTATAATGATGGCCTAATGATGGTGATAATCATAAAAGGAAAGAAGCAAAAAGGAAAGAAACAAAGAAAAAAAAAGAATATAAAAAATAAAAAATAACAAAATAAATATGAGTTCTAATTTTTTACCATCTAGTTCCAAGCTAAAACTTGGAATAATTTGAGAGACTAGAACTCTTATTTTTGTATAGAAAAATTAAAAAAAAAAGATAATTTTGTACAATTATCTCAATTCTAGTTTTGTTAGAGTTCTACTTGACTAACACTGTAAAATTTTGTTCTACTTTTAGTTCTATGTGACTAACACCTTAAAAATTTATCACATATATTATCTCAGTTTTAATTTTAAATTCTAGGTGACTAACCCCACCAAAATATAAATAATTAAAGAATAGAACGAGGGAACCATTGGAGAAGAATCATCCCCTGCCTTAAAAGCCACCCTAGATTAGGCGAGATTATAGGGATCCTTGGAGATGCTCTAAATAGTTTTTCGTCATTTTTTTAAAATACAAGTTATTCTATATATCACAAATTCAAAAACAAAACATCAAGTGCGATATAATTACCCACGCTGTCCGATATGACATAAAATTTCATCACTTGACTAATCAGTATTTAATTATACGACATGTCATCCAAGCAATTAGAATACAGATATAAAAAAGCATCTAAGTAAATGATAAATACAGTGATTAGTTATCCAACGTAGCCCATAAATAAATTTCTTACCTGGGACATTGATGCGAATGATGTGGGAGGATGGGGTCTCCATCCAGTCCATGGGAGCTGAGGATGTGGGCCCGGCCCATTGAGTGAAGAAGAGGCGCTTGAAGGGATCCATGAAGAAGGAATCGGCCATGATTTTGGTTTTGGGTTGCAAATTTTTGAGGGTTTCTACAGATAAAGAAGGGGAGCGATGGTGATGATTCCAGAGAGAAGGAGATGGGAGTTTGAGGAAGACAAGAAGAAGAAAGAAGCTTCTGGAGTCGGGTATGGATTAGACTCCAACCAAACCCGCATGTGTTGAACCCGTTATCGAAACAGTCACGGGCTGGTCCATATGGGCCTAAAGTATGAAATTGTTTATGCCGAGACCAAGGGGGTAAGCTAACGCACTTCGTTTATTTTATAAAATTTTATTCACTTATTATTGTCTTCTTTGTTTGGTAACATGATCTGCAAACTGATTGTTAACATGATGGATACTATGATTTTGTCAGGCCATATCAAAACTCGCTCAAGAAATTTATGCACAGGGCAAATATGTTGCAATTAATCAAATTAATTCATATGTGAGTATGTTTTTGTTGCCAAATTAATGTTGAAAATAAACTTGATTGAATTACCTTGGGAATTAATTAAATTCAAGAGTTTTTGTTAGGATATCTATGAGTCATTGTAGTAGTTTATATATGTGTGGTTTGTAAGTTGAAAGTAGTCAAGAAAAGAAAAAAGAAAAAAATTTAACAGAATAATTTTATCCTCTTCCAAATTGTTTATTCTGAAAAAAATATTGTTATCAAATTGGTATCAGAGCTAAGATGAGTTCTAACAGAATGATCTCATTTGTTGCTCCTAAACTCACCAAAGAAAATTATGATAACTGGTGCATTCAAATGAAGCTCTATCAGGATCAATAGATTGTTAGAATGTTGTGGTGAAAGGCTTTAAAAAGTCTGAAGATGAACATGCGCTATCAGCAGCCCAGAGAGACTCGCTTAGAGAGTCCAGTAAGAAAGATAGTAGAGTCCTCTATTTTATTTGCCAAGGAGTTGATGAATCGGCATTCGAGAAGATCTCAGATGCGGCGACCTAAAAATAAGCTTGAGAGATACTTCAAAACTCCTATAAGGGAGTTGAAAAGGTGAAGAAGGTGCGACTTCAAACAATTCGAAAGGAGTTCGAAGATTTAGAGATGGAGGAAAGTGAACTAGTTTCCGACTATTTCACTCGACTCTTAGCCTTAGTGAATCAACTTCAGAGAAGTGGTGGGAAGATTAAAGATATTTGTGTAGTGGAGAAAATTCTCCGATCACTTTCTCAGAAATTTGACTATATTGTTTGTAGCATCAAAGAGTCAAAAGACTTGGAGAAGATGACAATTGATAAATCTCGGGTTCCTTAAATGCTCACGAGAAAAGATTTAGGAAGAGAAATGAGCTGGTGGAGAAGGCTCTTCAAACTAAGCTTTCTTTGAAGGATGACCGAAAAGATTCAAAAGAAGGAAGTATCGGCAGTCGTGGTCGTGGAAGATTTCGAGGCCGAGGACGTGGTTTCTATGGCAGAGCAAGTCACAACAACTTTGAAGAAAGAGATTAAATCAAAGATCTTTTAGAGGCCATGGATATGGTAGATCTAATGGAGACCGATGGAAAACACAAGTTCAATATTTTAAATGCAAGAAGTATGGCGGCCATTACTCTTCTAACTGTTATTACAATCAAGTTGAAGAGAAGGTGAATTTTTTCGAGAAAGGAGATGATGATAACAATCTTCTATTAGCATTCTAAGGAGATGGTGACAGGGAGGATGTTTGGTATCACGATACTAGTTCCAGCAACCATATGTGTGGCAAGAGAAGTATGTTCGTCGACATGGACGAATCTGTTAATGACAAGGTCACTTTTGGAGATTTCTCAAAGATTTTACTAAAAGACCAATGTAAAATTCTTATTCACCTCAAAAATGGAGGAGAAAGGTTTATCATTGATATTTATTATATGCCTAATATGAAAAACAATATACTGAGTTAGGAATAACTCTTAGAAAAGAGCTATAATTTTCATACAAAAGATCGTAGTCTTTTTCTTCGAGATCAAAAAGGTAGATTTATTGCAAAAGTACAGATATCGAATAATCAAATGTTCATGCTAAACCTTCAAGGTCGAGATATGAAATGTTTGAAGGCTTGTACTAACGATCTTGCTTGGCTATGACACTCGAGATTTGGGCATCTTAGTTGTGGCAGTTTGAAGACATTGGTCAATAGAAGCATGGTGAAAGGGTTATCGATAATTGATCATCTCGAGCAACGTTGTGAAGGATGTCTAGCGAGGAAGCATCATCGAGCTAATTTTCCAAAGGAGGCTTCATTTCATGCGTCGAAGCTGCTACAACTTGTACAACAGTGTTTCATATGTCACCTTGAGAGGTGATTGTCAATTTTCTAATATTATAACTTAAAATAGTCTATAATTATGGAATATAATAGGAATTTTTTAAAAAAATATCGTTTTTGAAACTTTATTAGTTCGTTTTTGGATCTAATTAGTAAAATCAACCTCTTTGATTGATTTTGCAAAATATAGTTTTTAAAATATACGGGACTAGTAATCCTATGTAGTTAATGTTGGTTAAACACATGCTAATTAAATTTCAAAAAATACGTGAAACTAATTAAATTTCATTAGAGTGTAATTAGGCACCACTAAATACATTGGACCAGTAGTCTCGTGTATTTTAAAGTCGACCGCTTTTTGTCCTGTTAGCAAAACAGAGGTCAATTTTACTAATTATATTGAAAATAGGTCAAATTTACCAATAAAATTTTCAAAAGATCTTTTTTAAAAAATTCTTCAATATAATATAATTTTAGATTGCCTACTCCGGCAACTTCACTCCTTATAATGTAGTAGCATCTATCTGTGGACATGCATTGTAGTGAGTCACTGGTACAACGTAGTTAAATTGCTCGCGATCAAAATACTGCGGGGTTTGCTACTGCTATTCTTTATTATTTGTGCGTATGCGTGTTTTTTAAAATCCACTGTTAAATACACTTCTGATGAAATTTGAATTTTTTGATCTGATATCATTTAAACTCACTTTTCCTTCAAATCAGAACCCCGAAATTAATGATAAGCATTAATTCTATACTCTCTAATTAATAGAGCCTCAGTATTCTGTCAAGCAGTCAGGCATTGGCTTATTCCCTATGATATGTATGAATGTACGGACCTGTTAAAGTAAGAGAGAGAGAGAGAGAATCTTGGGTAAATTTCCCTTGAATTGAATATTGAGTGTGCACATATATTTATACAAGTAGAGGAGTGTGAGGTTTGTTCTCCCAAGCAATGTGGGACTAAAACCCACTACAATACACTATTATCAACAGCCCCCTTCAAACTCATGTTGGATCAAACAAAGTGAGTTTGCGTACAAGAAACTGGAACCGATGAACAGGTAAGGCCTTTGTGAAGAAATCTGCAAGCTCGTCAGCGGATGAAACATGAGGAAGTAGAATTGTCTTGTCCTTGATAACTTGGTGACGTACAAAATGAGCGTCGATCTCAATATGTTTGGTCCTTTCATGAAATACTGGATTATTAGCAATCTGGATGGCACTCTTATTATCACAGTAGAGAGGAGTAGGAGTCGTAACAGAAATACCGAAATCACTGAGAAGGCGACGAAGATGAATAATCTCTTTAGCTGTTGTGGACATTGCACGATACTCTGCCTCAGTACTGGAAAGAGCAATAACATCTTGTTTCTTACTTCGCCAGGAAATAAGGGAATCACCAAGAAATATACAATAACCTGTGGTAGACTTTCTGGTAGTTGGATCACCAGCCCAATCAGCATCAGAATATGCACAAAGCTCTAACTTAGATGTAGCAGGAAACAAAAGTGAGCGAGTGCTAGTACCCCGGAGGTACCGAAGAATCCGTAATAAGACAGCATAGTGTACAGAACGTGGGGCACTAACAAATTGACTGACAATACCAACAGCATGAGAGATATCTGGTCGAGAGATGCACAAATAGACCAACTGACCAACAAGATGTCGATATCGGGTAGGATCAGATAGAGGCTCACCGTCAGTAGAGCAAAGTTTGACATTCTGCTGGAGTGGAGTATCGACAGTTGTATTATCAGTTAACTCAGCTTGATTTAGAATATCTGAGAGATACTTCTGTTGAGACAGTAATACACCCCGCGGGCCTTGAGAAATTTCTAGACCAAGGAAATACCGAAGAGATCCAAGATCCTTCATGTGGAACTGTTGTTGCAACTGAGATTTTGCGTATTGTATACCTGTCATATCATCACCTGTAATGATCATATCATCTACATAGATGAGTAATAAAACCCTGCCACGCGATGTAGTGCGAACAAACAGAGAAGCATCTTGATGACTTTCTATAAAGCCCGCTTTGAGCACAACATCGCGAAAACACTCAAACCAAGCGCGGGGTGCCTGTTTGAGACCATAAACAGCACGACGAAGGAGACATACATGTCCCGGAGGAATATTTGACCCTGGAGGCGGTTGCATATATACGGTCTCTGATAAAGAGCCATGAAGAAAAGCATTTTTGACATCCATCTGGTATAAGGGCCAACGATGAGCAGCAGCGACCGCAAGGAGAGTACGCACAGTGGGCATCTGAGCAACAGGAGCAAAGGTCTCCTCATAATCAATACCTTGTTGCTGAGTAAAACCTCTAGCCACTAAACGAGCTTTTCGACGTTCAATGGTGCCATCAGGACGAAACTTGACCTTATAAACCCATTTACTGCCAACAAGAGAGATCCCAGGAGGACAGGGAACAATATCCCAGGTATGAGTTTGCTGAAATGCTTGAAATTCCTCAGCCATAGCTTGTCGCCACTCTGGAATTTGAACTGCCTCTTGGAAGGACTTTGGCTCAACAATAGTATGAATGGCAGCAAGAAAGTTATGAAAGATAGGTGAATAAGAAGTAACAGAAGCATACCGGGCAGGCATGACATGTGGGCGTTTGCCTCGACGAAGAGCAAGAGGAACCTCAGGCGGGGGAGATGCTGGCGCAGGTGCATGAAGATCAACAGTATTTTCTGGAGTGAGAGTTGTGTCCACAGGATATGGATTAGATGGTGTAAGAGAAGACTCAGGTGAGGAAGAGTCAACAGAAGGAGAGGGAGAGATGTCAGGGAGATCTCGAAAGGAAAATTGAGGTGAAGAAGTGGGTGATGCAGTGGACGGGGAAGCATGATCGGTAGAGTGGAGGAAATTAAAGTCATCAGAAGTAGAATAATATGGAGAATCCTCTTCG